CTTTTCTTTTTAGCGCACGCACCGGTGCGATCGGTACCAATAGCAGGGTGGGTATCAGGATACCTAAGAATCTACTAGAAGGGAAGGATCCTACACATGCCCGTGTATCGCCGCACATGATGGGTGGAAATTGATGGCGACAAACTGATCCCGGTGCCGTTTCTGCCGGCGCTCCACCACGATGGCTGTCGATCATTGGACAGGAGCTCAAGCTGCGTGAACAGCTCTACTTTCACGGCGCTGTGGAGTCCACGGGAAAGGCTGCACTTGAGAGTGGGGCGCTCCTGGACGCGGAACGCCACCGCCGGCCAGGCCAGCGCGTCCATGCGATGGGTTACATTACGGTCTACAGGGGGCCATATTTTATGCCCCTGCCAAATTTGCTGCAATAATGCGTTCTCTGCAAAAATTTGGTAGCATTTGAAGAACGCATAGCTGGTGCTGTAAACTGATTTTCAACATAAAATAACGAGTTTTACATAAATGCGGCCTCTCAGTCAAAAGGCGACACTTAATTCCGGACAGAGGAAGCCTTTTCATGCCTGTTCACGCGTAAAAACGTAAATACGATCTGTGTTCACTCCGTAAATACCAAGCCTGGCTCCAGTGAATCCATCCACACGCATGAATCCACCAACACATACACATCCCACGCCACCCCTCTCACAACAAACCTACAAGCAGCCCTCTAATCGCCCAGTCTTGAAGGAAACACCGTTGATGCGGTTCAAACGGCCCCCTTTGGAGTGCACACGGGAAGCACGGATCCACGATCGCCGATGCTTCAACTGCGTTGGCACACGCCCAGACACAACGCCACGCCACACAAAAAACGCTTAGGGCTTACATATTTGTTCACCCTTCCCACAACAGAGAGCGTTGCCGACGGTGGTAACGATCCCCGCAACCGAACAGTTCGAATTTCTTTGCACCCACATAACTCTCCTTTTCACATGACAGGGACCATCATCCATCAACAACCAGCCATACCGCACTTCAGAGATGCCCACTCATCGCCACAATACAACCCACTCTGTAACACATATACTAAAGGTGCCCATACACTCAGTAGCAATGCAGAAATATTTCAGATGTGAGCGCGACCCTAATTATAGCATTTGTCTCTGAATCAGATGGCATCTCCCACAACAATCAAATTGATGATCACAAAAGTCCCATCACAAGAGAAATAATTCTGTGAATTATAAAGCGCATTTTTCTTTTCTTTTTCTAAATTCAGAATGGCTTCGATATAAACAATATTCTTAAAATGCATACAAGTCGCACACCATCATGATCTACCGAGTGAAACGGTGGTCATTACGCGGTGTTGCGAACACCAGTCTTTTTGGTTCAGACATCCCTGTCGTTTGCAGCAATTGATGCATCCCAAATTTGGGTTTAGGCCCTCACAACCAAAGCACTGAAAACGCCGGCGCGTCAGCGAAGACCAGGGAAGCAACCCATCCTCGAACCTGCGCGGAGCCTGCCACGAACATCAACACAACGCCACAAGGCGGACGTTGCGTAACGCTCGATTCAGCCCGCGGCCCTCCTCCGCGTGCCGCGGGCGTCGTCCCCGCCCACTCCCCCTGGCACCCAACTCCTGCCCCCACCCCAAACACTTCGCCCCACCCCCCACGACCCTCTACTCACCCTATTCGTGCAGCTAGTCGCGCGCCGTCGGCGCGGCATGCGCGAATAAAATCCCGTGGGCGCATCGCGGCCCCCGCGAGGAAGGCGGGCAGCTCCGGGTGGGGGCTGGGCCTGGTTCAGTGCTGGCGTGGCCGAGCCGTGTTCGAGATGCTCGCGGGCGCGGGGCTCGACACCTCGGCGCGGAGGCCGGAGGTCGGGGCGCCCACCGGCAGGCACGGGCTCGCGGGCGACTGGACGCCCACCCGCATAGGTGAGGCGCATCCCGAAGGTCCTCGGGAATTTCTTTACAGTGTCGGAATCCCCCGCGCTTACACGCACGCTGTTCTCTGGTTAGCCCGGCGCCGGCCTGATCGCATGGGCAATGGTCGTGGTGCTGCCACCCTGGGCTGCGCGGCTGCACGGCTGCACCGCTGCTGGCTGTGCAGCGATTCGGGATCTGCTTAGAGAAGGTGGCCTTGACGGGGCGGGGGAGGGGTCGGCCGGCGCAGCGGGCCCCGGAGAGGGATTTAACTGGGGAAGGAGCGGGGAAAGGAAAAGAATGGGCGGCGCACGTGCGAGGGCGGGTTGGCCACGCAGGCGAGCGTTGGAAATCAGGCCCGCTCGGGCCTTCCGACCCAGACGTGGGCTACGTGGTCGGCTAAGGAAGCGGGGTGCATCGCTTCCGACGATGCGCGCTTCAGATTGCGTCGCCCACCTATAGGCCACGATCCCGCGCCGTGCCGTCGCGCGTCGTGCTTCACTCCCTCCGGACGTCGCGTGCTGTTGGGAACCGTCCACAGCGTCGCAAGGGCTACGTGCCTGCAGGCGCCTGCCGCTGGACCTGCGGCTCATTCTGCGGCGTGGCTGCGAGGTCACTGGCGCTCCGCCCTGTCGGAGGCTGTGTCAATGGGGCCTTCAGGTTGCATATATTCAAGGGGGCCAGGGACCATGGTGCTGTTCAAAGAGCGCATCCGCGGGATAGGCACCGGCGGAAGCGAGGGTGGGATTTCGCGAAATGCGGCCTCTCTGAAATCGGTGTCCGAATTGAAGCCGATGCAAGTATTGCAAACTCAGATGGCTGAATTCAGGTGGTGGCTGGCGACGGGAACGCGAATTCAAGCCAGGGGCCCGGAGACGGAAATTTCGCTTATGGGAAGCGGGATGGCGACGGCCAGAGTGGGCCTTGCCATGGGCGGCAATGGGTCTTGTTCCGTCGTGACAGCGGAGCAAGTTGCTCATTAAGGAATGGACACCTGGCATGCAACGGACATCCTATCCTGAACGAGAATTTCTGTGAAGCTTTGTTCCATGTCAAAGGAGATGCCGGCGTCTCTGAATGCATCGGAAATGCCACACGACAATGAATTGCCCGGCCCCAGAAAAGAAACGTGTACACTGGAAGCATGACCACCGTTGGGCAGTGATGGGACAAGGGAAATGGAAGCTGGCAATTGGATCAACGCTCAGCTGAATGAACCTTGGGGACAGCACAGTTTGCACAGTCACTATGTGGCTGTGCAAAATGCCAACTTAGGGCTCGGAAGTGTGGCTGGTGGTGCCACAGGGTTAGCCCATGATCTTTGCATCGGCCTTATCCCATCACAAGCAGACGTCTCACCTTGGAACGTCTGTTGCCTGTCATCGCCTTGAGAGTAAGAGCACTGTGTTGCCATGTGAGCGCAAAGAAGTGCAATAGAAAGCCCACGTCGAAATGGCTAATCAGCCTCCTGTAGCTGCATTTGTAGCCATGAGTGCTTTCATGCATCGTGCCAAGCGGACCACAGCGTGGCCATCCCACTGCAGTCCATCCTGCCTGCCAGAACCCCACATCTGTGAGGTATCTGCTACACAGATATCTTGGACCCAACCCTTCTGAAGCTGTGGCCACAATGAACCATGCCAATGTTCATTTTGAGCTATCTTGAAGAAATTTTCTCTCCATGTTCTTCAGCCCTCGTGTTGTGCATATTGCGTTCTGCTTCCCATAAGGTGTGATGTGCAGCTGCAGTGTTCTGGCTGCCTTTACTGCCATTGAGCACTGACGTCCAACAAGGATGCGCCAACAGGGACCCTTCCAGTGCACTCCCCACTGTCCACAGGCAGTGAGTGCTGCACAAAACGGTGATGAAAATTGTGGAGAATCAACCATGTTTGTGTTTTTTAATTGTGCTGTGTGTCTGGATTGGCAAGATTCTGAATTGCAGAAACAGGGTTTGCTGGGATTGAACAGCAATTTGGTGGTGCGCTGGGAAGACATGTGGCCTTTCACCAGTACGGAGGCTCAGGAGCGCTACCTGCTGAAGTCCAAGTGCACAAGTGGCTCTATGAAGCAGTTGAAGACAAAGGTGATATTGAAAATACCAAGGCCTGACAAGGGCAGCAAGGCCCTAACCAAGTTTAGCGGGGTTGCTGTTGAAGACCCCACGGGCGAAGACGATGACAAAATCCCCTGTGGGTGGGCAGGGTTGTCATCCCCACGTGCTGCATCCAATCCAGCCACATCAGACATGGAGACCCCCAAAGATGGGCCCAATGTGCCAGCACAGCATGCCAGCAGCATGCCCAGCACATCGAAGCGAACCACCTCAGAGAGGGAGCCGTCCTGCCTGGAGCCAAGCACATCAGAAATGAAATCTTCCAGCAGTATTCCAAGCATGGCAGAGAAGGAAAGTGCTAGGAACGAGGTGGCCTCATCTGAAAGGGACTTTCCAAATGGCAAACCAGATGCATCGGCAAGGGGTGCCAGGGGCTGTGGAGTTGTTGGCAATGGCACAAACTGGAGCTCCTCTGTTCATGGCTGCCTTGGTCTGAGTGGCAGAGATGCCTGCAGGCTGCGGCCATCACTGAAAGTGAAGTTTGTGGTTGGCAAGCGCTGCAATGACAAGACGACCAAGCACGAGAAGCAGGGTGGATCAGTGGAGGAGGTGCACACTGCTCCAAATGTCATCCCATGCGACATGGCAAAGATGCGTGGAAAGGATTCTGATATATCTCCAAGGGCTGCATTGTGCAACGAGGCAAGTAGGGGAGAAAGGGAACCTGTGACATCAAAGGAGGGTTCGAGTCTGTCACTGAAGGCCATCTTGCACGATGAGACAAGGAATGGGAAAAAGGATGCCATCACAGGGACGGACGCTGCATTGTGTGACCAGATGGCAAGGAAACGGAAAAGAGATGGTGACACACTGAAGGAGGCTGGATTGTGCGACAAGAAGCAAAGGCAGGATGGGGAATCTGGCAAATCGAATGAAGCTGTCGTTTGTTCCGAGTTGGTGGAACAAGATAGGGTTGATGCCTTGCTGAGGAGGCCAGTAGCATTGGACGAGGCAAGCAGAAAACGGGCAAGGCACCCTGCAGCCTTGCAGGGCGAGGCGTCCGGCCCATCTTTGCAGGCCATCTCGCGGGACCTGACAGGGCGTCAGGAAAGGTTTGCCTGCACAAGGGGAGAGGCTGCATCATTGGACATGGAGACAAGGAAACGAGAGAGGGATTCCAAAACCCTGAAGGAGGCTGTGTCATCGGACAAGGCAAGCAAAAAACGTGGGAGGAAACCTGCGGCGTCACAGGATGGATCAAACCCGTCTCTCAAGGTTGTCTCATGCGAGTCTTGGGCCTTTGGGGGCACCGGGACGGCCTCTGCTTGCACGCAGGTCCTTCCAAGCGACCTGAGCATGTCCCAGAGTCGCGGCACGCAGGCCGGGCCTTCAGTGCACGAGCGAGGCGTACAGGCAGTGCCTGGTCGAGCGTCAAGGGAGGACCTTGAGCGTGAGGGCCTGGAGCAGACCCTGATCGGGATGAGGCGCCTGTTGGCAGAGGGCGGCAGGGACTTGCTAAAGCAGTCGGAGGGGGAGGTGTGGAGGGAGGGGAAGAGGCTGAAGCGGCTGGCGGAGGGGCAGATTCGAGAGCTGGAGGGGATCGACATGGACACGATGGTGCTGTACCTGCACTCCGCTCTGAAGTTTTTGGAGGCTGCACATACACAAGAGCAGCGGAAGGACTGCCGGTGAGGGACAAGGCTTTCGTGTGTGGTTGGTGGAGTGGGCGTTGTTGTTTCTAATGGATCGTGCACTGCCGCTGATCTCATCTTTGGCAAAGTTCACGATTGCACGGTTGATTCCGTTTGCACTTCCCTTGCCATGAGGGGCTTTCTTCTCTGTGCCTGGTGCAATATCGAACAACTACCATCTGATGATATGCAATTCTCATTGGCATGTACTTGGCATCATTGGAAGTAGAACTAATCTTATGCATGGCAACCTTCATTATGCTTGATTTTGGTGCTTCAACCAGCTTGGCCTCGCTGCCAGGGGGGTCATGTTCAAGGGCACGGGCGACCTGCTGCTGCACGCCGCGAGCCACATGGATGGGCACACGAAATTGAGGCCCATAGTGAAGAGATGCGCGCAGGTGCTAGCAAAGCGCCTGGCGGCTGTCGCTTTCGTTCGGCACAACATCATGGAGCAACGTGGCAGTGCGCCCAGCAAGGACGGAGCCGGTGCGAACCTCTCTTAACGATGATGGACGCGCATTCTTGTCATCACGATTTTCATTTTGTATGATGTGCATTTGTGGATTCACGAGAGGGATTTATGTACTACGTTTGTGACGTGACGACTGTGATGGGGTGTGTGCGAACAAGCAAATAGACACACAGGCCTTTCTGCGCCCTCCAATGCTGATGTTCAATTTACTTGATTGGTTCTGTGAGCTGAACACTGTACCTCTGGGCTGCGGTGGCATATTTTAATTTTCGGATTCTTCGCATTCTTTATGTGTTGCATATTGAATCAAAACTCAGTCCACGATGTCGGCCAGGCCGGCGTTGCAACCATGAAGGCAACAAGTATTTTCCTGCCTTCAGAACGAGTCGAATTGCAGGCTTACCCGAACGTCGTCCCAAAGTTCCGCATTCCATAACGATGCTGTTAGTTTTCAAACCCTTCTGCATAGTAGGGCAACGCCGAGCCTTTTCTTGCGGTGAAAACAGTAAAATGAACAACGCACTTTTAATTAGATTTGTGCGGAGCAACGTAAAACAACAAAACAAGGCTCCGAAAGCAAATGCAGAGCAAAATGTGCAACGGCAGAATTTCCAGATCGGGAAGGGTGCAAAACCAGCAGTACCTTTCTTTTGAAAGCGCGGTTTGTATTCTGTGCAGGTGGCTCGCCCCCGCCGACTTCCCCCCTGGAAAACGGCGCCAGGTGCGTCGAGACCCTGTTGCGGGGTGTCCACCTCATCCAGTCCACGGCGCGCGACCTGTCCGACCTCCGGGCCGTGGCCGCGGCGTCCGGCGGCGCGCCCCAGGGACCGCTGGAGCTGATCTCCATGGTCGGGGCCGACGCTGGGATGGGCGACCTGACGGACACCCTGACGTGGGCGCAGCACGCCATCCAGGGCCTCGTGAGGTTTGACGAGATGGAAGGCTGAGGGGAGTCGAACGAGTGTGGCAAAGGAAAGGGCAACGAAGCTGCACGATGAGGGAAGGGAGGGAGGGGATATGTGGCGGAAAGGACGGGTAAAGAGATTTTCTTTAGCCTTTAGTTGATATCCGTCCTTAAAGGCGGAATGAGAGATGAGAGGCGTGGAGTGAGTCAAATTGAGTGCACTTGCTCAAGCTGTGGCAAATCAATGTGGTGGTTGTTGCCGCCCTCATGAGGTGCGGACGGTGGAACGAGAATGTTGAATGATGGCGCCGGTGGGGTGGGCGAAACGATTGTGCATTGGGCATGCTTGGCTGGCGGCGAAATTTGGGTGGGGTTTTAGCATTAGGTCGTAGTTCTTCGGGCTTTGGCAGGAAGCTCCACGAATCGACGCACTGCGCCGTCGCAGTGCACGAGCGAAAGTGTCGCTGTTCACGGCCAGGGTGCGCGTCTGCAAGAAAGCATATCGAATCCGTGAATCCTCGCCTGCTTACCTCGGGCTTCGGCCCTGAAATGCACGCGGAGCACCCGTCTTCCCAATTTGAGGAAGTCTGACGGGTGATTTTTAGTACCTGATGCCAGGCGCAAAGGTTTGGTACGAGTTTGTGTGGGTACCAGCCATTATGATCATTATTGTATTGCGAATTGATAATGAGAAAACATTTTCAGCCCGTCGCTGACACAGCGAGAACAAATAGAATCGGCGTTCAGAGCACATAGAGAAACCTAATGTCCACATGCGCCGCGACTACTGAATTCCTCCTTGACTGCTTTCAAAAAAGTGGTCGCAACAGTAGAAACGGAAAACGAGAAAAATCACCAATCTCCCTTGACGAGAAAACTTCGTAAGTGGGAACGGGGGTGAGGGAGAGAAAGCGAAGTGCAGTGCACTCCCTACTCCTCTCTGAAGGTGGACAGCGCAACGCCAAACCGTGCCTCCTGTGAACAACCCCCCAAGACCGGCAACTGTTCCCGCCCCCCATTCCCCCGGTGTCCTCCCCTTCCTTTTTTTTGCTTGCGTTGTCTGATAACCAACTCTCGTCTGAGGCTCTTTATCACCTTTCACATCATGGAAAAGATTTTCGCATACATTTTCTTAACATAGGTTGCCTTTCGTATGTAACAATCTACCCAACACAGCCCCACACCCTCCGCACGTATCTCGAGCAGGAGTATCTCGCTGGCCATCGCAATTTCCACCACGAAAACGAACTGCTGAGCCCTCAGGACTTCATTGCACGATCGCACTTCCCAATCCCTGCTTTTACCGCCGCCCCTTGCCCAAAACGCCATTGCCAAATTCAGACGCTTGTGCCACTGCATTCGGCAACACGCAGACTCTGCCGCCCGCTCTCCAGTGGAAGTTTCTTTTGTGGGGTGTGAAAGGCCATCACCCATTTAACTGCTATGCCAGCAGCATCCAGGAGTTGATGAGTCACTAATAATTCGTGGTGGAAATCCGTTGCAATTACATTTGCCAAAATCATGGCAAAGCTAGCCCTGTCACCATGCTGGCGATGTCGGGCAGTGTTCCCAGGAAACAACATGCAATCTAGTCCGTGTTTGTGTTCGACTGTCACCAAACGGTACACAAAACTGGCAGCAAAATCACCCAAAGAAAAAGCAAAACACGGGCCCGAAAATGTCAAGGGCAGCTCCCCGCCCCTCAAGTGGGCAGGCTTTCAGAAGTGACAGCCAACGAGTAATGACTGTGCTCCAGAGCTAGAGTGTTGCATTCGTCAGCCAGAAATCCCGGCCGAAAGGAGGTAGAAGCCCAAATGGACCCAAAAGAAAATAGAAAGTGAATCTGATCTCCCCGGACGAGCACATTTCAAGTACGTCGCCCCCAAGGCGTCCCCTCGGGTTGGGCGCCCCAATAATGCCTGACCCGCATCAAGAAGCCAACAAGTCCTTAAGGGCTTTGGGCACGAGCTCTGATAGGTCCCACTGCAAATTGGCGTCACCCCGGTGGCGCCGATGCAAGAAATGTCATCAGGTCGCCAGCACAATGTACGCAATGCAAGGAAATGTGTTGGCGATCCTCCAACGTCGCCTCACAGAAACGGCAAGCACTCCGTGGGAAAGCATGGATGCGATGCAGAAACGCTCGGCACGGAAATGAGCCTGTAAGGAATTGGAGCAGGATGGAATTCGTGGTGCACACCACGTTCCAAAGGGCTGAGAATTTCTTTCATTCGTGCTCTTCGTTGTGTACTTTCCTCCTTTTTTGTGTTGTGGTCGTATTGATGGTAGCCGCACTTTTGGCTTCATAAGATTACCTGACTACATTACTCATTAACGTCAAGACATTAGAACGTATTCGCAGCACCAGTAGAAAACAACCTGTTTGCGATGCCAGCGGCGATGCCGTTTTGACACGAATTGGTGCCATCACAGCCCCTTTTATGCCGTCGTACTCACTGTGACGGCATCAATTTGTGTCAAAATAACATCGCAGCTGGCATCGCAACCATGGCGTTTTCTACCAGTGTAGAAACGCCAACGTTTTTATTGCAATTCCCACTGGTTTTGTTGCAGGCAAAACTCCTCGTGGTGTACTGCCATAGGCAATCCTCATTGCATCGGTGCAATGTTTTCTGCCTTACGCGACCCGCATGCTCTGAAACTCGTACTTCCTATCGGAGCAGTGCAAGTGTTTTTTAATCCACCTGCGGAAAAATTGCGTCGTCTCCACAGCGATCCTATAAGTTCTGGCCAACAGCACCAGCCGCTCGTGGTTGCCGCTGTCTATCTTTCTTTCTCTTTGCTCAAAGGCCTTTGTGCTTGCGCAGAGTGCCATGCAGGTCGTGCTGTCGAGGTGGGCAACGTTTCTGGTGGGGCCGGTAGTCAAGGTGCGGTCGTCAGGCAGCTGGGCGCTCGTTGCTAGCGGCTTCAGGGCGTTTCTTTGGAAGACCCCGTTTTTCTGAAGCCCCTTCCCAATTCTACTGGTGCTGAATATTATTAAGACAGTGTAAGCAGGTGTTGGCAGCAACATCGAAGAGAAGGGCCCCCGGAGTCGAGATGGCGGCGGCGGCCATGATGCGGCGGTCAAGGTGCACAACTGTGAACAGTACACGACTTTGCGCTTCTCATCTGCTGGCTGTCAAGCAGGCACGTTTAAACCCGCTTATGTGGGGATTTTTTTTCAGATCCCCGAATGATCTTTGGCAACGGAGTCTCCAGTCGCCCGTTGCGGCTGCGCAGAAGGGGCTTCACGGTCAAGATGCGTCGGATGCTATACTGCTGTGTTTGCAAGACCTGTGGCCCACAGGTCTTGAAAACCTAAAGACCATTCTTCGATGGAGGCGCTACACCTAGTGCAGAGAAGGGGAAATATGGGGTTTGGAATACGCACATCGCAAAGGGTTGAGAGAGAAACGAAAATGTGGCTTTGTGAGCAACGATTAGAGACAATCATTATGAGAAACTTCGGTTGACACATTATTGATAAAATTCTCATGCATTAGAATATTTTCAATAATTTCTACAACAGAAACGAGCAAAGAGACAGGGAAAAAGTACCAAAAAATGAATATCTTCCTTGGGCCCCTTTCTGCTATGAGATTCACAGGATACGTTCGCTGGTGTGGGCCTTCTATGCACCTGTCAGAATCATCCTTGTTTTCACAGGCTGGTGTTTTGCTTCAAAGGAGATTTTCCTGGGAGTGTGATAAGTGGCCGTTTGATCGTGGATCAACTGCAATGACAACAGTTTCTACTGGCAGTATATATCATCAGGCGGGATGAAACCTCGCCGCTTGTGAGACACCAGCGCTCAAGTGCATTTGGATGTAATTGTCATTTGAATGTACGCTTTTGTTTCTTGTGATCTTCATGAATCCCCGCATGGATCGGTTGATCGGATATCCTACGAAATTGTCGGAATGCAGCATGGTGCATGGTGATCTATTGAAATTGGTAATCCCTTTGGATTTGCAGTAGCAGCACGTTTTCCACATACTGACTTTGAATCAGTACTCTCATCATTTAATTTTCTGCAAAAATGTGCAAAATAAATCAGCAAAGGGAACACTGGGCTTTCAAAAAAAGTTGTATTTGAAGAAATTTGTAAGAACATATGCGTTGTACCAAAACGACAATACAAGAATTGAATACGATAGATCACGTATTATATCAGAGAAATCAGAATGCCGCTGATGGGTACAGGCTGTATATATACCAAGGCCTTTGCCCGCATTGCCAAGAAGGAGGGGACCTCCAAACGCTGGGCCGATCAGCAGGACAGTAGCGGCAGTGACAGTGGTGTAAACCACCCTGCCCGCTTTGTCCCTACCCAACCGGAACAGGCATCGCCATCGGTTGTGGAGACCAGCGTTCCCAAGGTGGAGAAAACGCCAGGGAAGGAGACCCAGCCTAAAATGGCAAAGGCAAAGGAATCGCCCGGCAAGGAGAAAGACCCGCCTATGAAGGCGAGAGATCAGCCTGAAAAGGCTAAGGGGAGATCCCAAGGCTTGCAAAGGCCAACCACAGGTGACATTCCTGTCGAATTGCCCTTGCTGCAACCTGTTGAGAACACCAAATTGCGTAACCGTGCAGACATCGTTGATTCTGCGGGTAACGACGATGTTGTGTATCTCGGTTCAGCAGGTGAACCTGCCAGTCCCATTCCCCTGGAGAGACGGGAGATATATGAGGTCCTGCAGAAGCAGGAAGCCGCTTTGCAACGAGCAAAAGCGGATGCAGAGAAAGCTGCTCAGCTTCATTCCTTGATGGGGAATGAAGATTATGCAGCATAGATGGAACTGCAAGAGGCGAAGCAGGCCTCAAAGGGACGGCAGGAATTGTAGTACAAACCGGCATTACCAAGATCTGGCTACCAGGAACGCCGTGCCCAGCAAATGGTGGCTGAACAACGTGGTCGGGCAAAGGAGCCGCACGAGGCACCCAGACCAACCCCAGTAATACATGCCCCTGTCATCCAGGACAGGAGGGGATTCTGGGATACATTGGGTGCATTCCACGACCCTCATGGAGGGGTGTACTTTA